TTGTTTATCATTATAATTTATTATTTACGGGAAAATATAATAATATCAAAGAAGTTGGATAAATTTGTAATACAAAGGTAAACAAAAAAACACACACAAAGAATTTAAATAGTTAACTAAAATGAAAACAAATTAAAGGTGTATATTATTAAAAATTAAACAACAAACAAATTACAATTAAATTATTTAAAAATAACTCTCAAACATCATAATATTATTTGTTTGTTACTTTACTCCTCAATCAACATGATTTGGGCGAATAAAAATTTTGAATTCTTGAATCTAATATTATTATTACAATTATAACATTTTTTATTTGTATAGAATTGTTGTTTCAAATAATAATATCATGATTCCAAATTTGAAAAATAATGGTGAAGGGAGAAACCCGCACCTTTTTTGTTCTTTTACAATCATAAGAAATTTAGTCTTTGTTTTTTTTGTTTTTTAAGAATCTTCGTTTATAAAAAGTACATTTAAAAATTATATGAAATAAACATTTAATAACATAAACTGGTTTTCAAAAGTCTGTACTTGGGTGTCCCGATTTTTTGCATTTATTTTGTTTATTATTTTTTGGAATCGTTTTTTGTAATAAATTCGCTTATTTTTTGCAAGTAAAAAAGAGAAAAACAGTCTTCAAAAAATATTTTTTACTTGAAGATTTTTAAGCATTAAAAATTCCATATAAAATTTGAAATAACGGGATTTTTGTTTTTGAAATACACGTGAATGATCCCAAAAGTGCATTTTATTATAAAAAGCTGATAAATTTAATGCCAAAAATTTTCAAAGTCGAGTCTTCATTTATAATAATAAAATAAATAACAAGCGCTAAAGTATCGCGTAATATCGATATACTGATGGTGTTGTCACAACAATAATAATAAATATCATAACACAAAATTATTAATTGTTTGCTCTTATTTATTTTTTCTTTAAAACTTGTTATTTCATTTTCTATTGTTTAAAGAACAAAACCACATGTTTGTTTTTAATTAAAATGAAATACTAACGAAACTGATATTTAGTTACAAATTGACACAAACAACAACATCCCAATTTATTAACGTGTTTATCGTTGTACGATTTAACCAACACCGCTGGGTTTGTGTTGTGAAGTATTGAGTTGTGGTCAAATCAAATAACAAAATCGGGTTTTTTGGAAAAGGCTGGCTAATATTCCGATAAATTCCCGAATTTGTACGAAAATAATTGAACGGGATTGGTATTTTTTTCAAAATAAAGTCGGTACTTTCGATTTTTTGTTTTTTTTGTTTTTTAGGAAAAATAAAAAAACGGGAAGTAGGATATAAATTATGTAGATTTAGGGGGCACCCTCTTTTTATCTATATTTTATAATACTTTATCTAAATCGCGAGGTACACGAATATGAATTTTTCCAAAATTCGGAAATATTATACCGAGTTTATTTTAAAACAATATTTTATAATATTTTAACTAAACGCGTAGTTGCATCGAAGACACAACGCGAAGCGGGAGCAAAGCTTCAACACGTACGAATCGTAGAGGGAGCAAAGTTCCAGCATGAATTTTAATTATAGATCAATATTTATGGTAAATTTATATTACAATAAAAACATAGTAAATTTATATTAATGTAATTTTTTATCTTCCTTAAAATGACT